TTATTACCTTATGCCACATACTATCCACTAACAGAGTAGCTAACAGTAGGTTAGTAGCTAATGTTAGCTTAGCTAATAGTACTCAGAGTAGCCACAAAATTTAAGTAAGGTTGTCGTGACATAAGCTGAACATTATTATTGTAAATATGGATAGAGAACTACATGCAGCAAGTTACACACACACACACACACACACACACACACAAATTCCCACAGTAATATAAACTGTCAGATGATGAAGTAAAATACAAATTATATCAAAGCAGCCATAAAAATAATAAAAAGGAGAACCAAAGTTCAAGTAATGCAGATACCTGTGAGTTGTAAAGTACTGAAGTACAGTACAGAGTAAATGTTGATCACCTTTTTGAATGAAAATGAGATGGAGACTCACCTAAACTAAGTGCTAGTTGATAAAAGCTGAGGTCAGTCTGGTTTAATATTTTTAATTATGCACCACACTGAGTTTTGTAGTGTGGAAGCGATATCTGCAGCAAACATGGGGTGCACTAGACCATATTGATTTAAAAGCTTTTGTGAAATAAGGTGAAATAATATAATAATGTATAATAAATATTGCATTAATTAAAATGTTCAAAGGTTGATTCTGTTCATCTGGACGTCGCGTTATCTGGGAGAAACGTTTCGTCACTCATCCAAGTGACCTCTTCAGTCTCACTTTGGAGATTTATTTTCCTGGATGATTGAGAATGCATCAAGACATTAATTAAAATGCATTAACATGTAAAAATCTTAAAACAAAAACTTTTTTACAAGCCAATAAAACTCTAGTCCACTGACCTTAGGGTTGTTAGGTTACTACTTAATTATTACTAATATTAATAAAGGTTTACACCATTGTAATGTCTTGTTTTCAGCATCACAAACATTTTGCATCAAAGTACAGGTCAAACTTCAGAATGATGATATGCTTGGGTGTTTTCATTACAGCCACTCATTCTCCTTTAAAGGCTTAAAGGCAACATCTCCTTCATTCACTTGCAGATTTAAAACTATTCAGATTCAGAAGACTTTATTGTTCCCCAAGGGGCAATTAAGAGACTGACGTTGCCGACCGTACAGACAATACCATCTATGTTGGAGACAAAACACTGTCAGTGCTCCTGTTACGATCAGCAAGCCTGAACACAGAGTACAGGTACATTTCAATGCCTTAGAAATTTCTATTGCATAGACATTTTATTTTATTTGACTTTGACCTTTGACTGTACTTATTATTTATGTATTTTTGCATTTAAAAAAATGTTTTCGTTCAAAAATATCATTTTAATATGGCACATAAATAAAGTCAAAGGGTTTAGTTTTTTGACAGATGACCACTTCCTTCTGTTTTTTCACTTTTTAATATTTTATTGTTGCCCATTAATAAAACAAAAGTATTTCTTATCCCATTACATGATGGAATAATTACTCGATTACTAAAATAATCAATAGCTGCAGCCCTACTGAAAAGAGCTTTCAAAGACTTAAAGGTGTGACCCAATACTTTTGTCTGCATAGTGTTTGTAGAATTGAGGAAAACAACTGTGGGAACAGGTTTCTCTCGGGGAATTACCTGCACTACAAGGGTATACTGTTATTTGTTAACACTTTCACATACGCTGTTCTTTTAAGATCCTACATAGCCTGTTTTTTACATTTACCGGTCAATAACATATTTAGCTGCAAAAGGTTATCCAGCAAGAGAACAGGGATAGAGCTGGACTGGCACTTCAGGCAGTATAAAGCCTCAATGCTGGACATCTGATTTATCAAGCCTCACCCAGTTATCTATGGGCTGCTCAAAGATGCAGTGGCCAGCAGAATGGCTAATGTAGGACAGGGCATAACTAAGGCTGTCCTCATGTTTAATGATGATGAATATTTCAAAGCACACTCCTCCACTGCCTCTATTTAAAACTCGACTTAGCAACAGACCTTGAACCAACTGGGTTCACAGGAGGATGAACACCTATTCAACCTACTGAGAAACTAAGCCAGACTAAGATATTGATGTAAAGGAGGAGGCAACAAAAAGATTATTGAGATAAAATGGTTGAATACTTTGCACTAAAAGGGACTAAGAATGAGTTCACTTGGTAGATTTTCCACTGAAACGCCAACAGTCAAGGGCTTTGCTTTTGAATGCAGAGCTTGCATTCTGACCTAAAGCTAATGAGGGATGTCAGTGTTTTACAAAAACGGCTGCGTTAATAATGTCAGGAGGCTGACTGCAGTGATTATATTGGACGCCAGCTCTGTTCTGGTGCTGTGCCTACGTAACCATTAAAACACTATGAAAACACTAAGAATACAGGTTTGGACAGCTTTCTTAATACATTTAATTCATTTTAAAAGCATATTTTATATTTACTCATGCTATCTTTGTCTAGAATAAAAATTGGTTTGATGATCGGAAACATGGAAGTGTGATGAATCTCCAAAAAATTTGAAATTAGCAAGGAGGTAAATACTTTTTGACAGCACTATGAACAGATAGATTAAGTTGCTAACCTCAAGAAATCCTCCCAGTGGGTAGAAAAGACTTATTTAAAAGACACTACAGATCCAGTGATCACGGTAGCACAAGAACAGCACCACATCCATAGGGGCAGAAGTCTACCACAGCTGACCTCTATCTTGGAGAACAACCACTACACACTGTCCATGTCAGTTTTGATAAGCTAGCAAAGTTTCATTTGTTTTCACCTTCCAGACTGTACTTAGTTTGTAATTGAAGTATAAACAGGGCACCAACTCTGAGAAAAAAAGACTATGGAACCCAATGACAGGTTCATCCATCCATCTTCTTCTGCTTATCTGAGGACGGGTCGCGGGAGCAGCAGCCTAAGCAGCTTGTCCGGGGGAACACCATGCTTTCCCAGGCCAGCCAAGAGATATAATCTCTCCAGCGTTTCCTAGGTCTGCCCCGGGGCCTCCTCCCAGTGGAAGGTGCCCGGAACACCTCACCCAGGAGGCATCCTTGTCAGATGCCCGAACCACCTCAACTGGTTCCTTTTGATGTGGAGGAGCAGCGGCTCTACTCTGAGCCCTCCCGGATGGCTGAACTGAACTGAAGGGAGAGGCCAGCCACCCTTCGGAGGAAGCCCATTTCTGCTGAACCCATCCCTGACCCGGAGTGGGCTCTCCACCCTTTTCTGGCCCAGTGAAAGGTGCTATATGCACTGATGTGGACACTAAGTCAACATCAGTGCAATATCATCAGCAGAAGACAGCTACGATCAAAGCTGGAGATTCAAAGGCAACAGCACAGTGAAAACAATAGTGAGAATAATGGACAAACATTCTCTATACACACACACACACACACAACTATATATATATATATATACACATATATAAATATATATATCGTATCAGGGGGCGTTGGGGCTTAAGAGGTTAATAGCATTGTTTCTTCCTCCCCTCAGCAAGTATTGCTAGTCTATCTATCTCAACTTCCTGTTAAGCACACTGCTTTTTGCTGTTTTCCCTCAGAAGCTCAAAATCTAGCGCTTTTCAGTCTGTGTCTAATCTATATCATTTCAGTCTATACCAAGCATAGAACAGCAGTTCCTTCATTACACATAAATGACTATTGTATAGAAAATATTGCATGTTAGTCTATTGCACACTGAAATGTGGATTGCATATAGAAATATATATCATACTGGATACATTTGATTTTGTGTGTATTTTACTGATTTTGTTTTTCGCCATCAGTCTGACTGTGGTGGGAAAGAAGCTGTTGTGGAAGCGTGTTGTGTGTGTGACAGACTGTCCACTCTGCTGCATCTCTGGCTGTATCCTGATTGTTTTGGTGCAAAGAGGGTGTGACCTGAAGCAACACATCATCAGAGACCTGACAATCTCTGATGATGTGTTGTTCTCTTTTCTTACAGCGCTCTGTGTCCACTGATGGAAGATCCGTTCATATAATCCTCTCTGCAGGCTTTATGACTCTCTGGAGAGTTTGTGGCTGTAGTGAGACTCAAAGTAGCCACCAACCAAGAACCCCCAGCTACCTGACAGAGTTTCATTAGTGGAAATGCTTGTAGATGTGAACACTGCTCTACGCACCATCCCCACTGGCAGTATCACTGAAATCTTAAGTACTTGGGTATTCCACAGGCCAGTGGGAGTGATTCAAAAATACATGAAGTTCCACATTTCATGATGAAAAAAAGAGCATCTGTAAATACATCAGAAAGACGGCCCTCAGAGATTGCCTCAGACAGCTGAAGACAAATGGTGATGCTGAACAGGAAGAGGAATTCATGGACATGGACAACCAAGTCCCTGCATGGGATTACAATCAACAGATAGATGAAGTTGCTAAGATCAAGAAATCTGTCATGGTTTGTGTCTCTGTGTCTGAGGAGCGTGTGGGATGCCCCGGTGGCCACCCTCAGGCTGGGCCATCACCTTCACACCTGCATCCCACTCCAGGCGACTATTTAACTCTGCACAGACGGCTGCTCCACGCCAGTCTGTTAATCAGCCCTCAGTGGTAACTTGGCTCCCCGAAGAGTGTGTATCCAAGTGTTGCATGAACTGTGTTAATTCTATCTCCATGTGCTCAGGTTACTGTCTGGTGTTTCGTACCTGCCACCTGCCTGCTTGGATCTCTGAGTGCACCACCTCAGAGTCCCACGGTCCGGCTCTGGCCAGATTGCTATAGCCCTGTCTTGTTGTGCCTCTCCCTTCCCCTGTACACGGACCTTTTCCCCTTTGTGTTGCAGCCTCCCAATGAGGGCTTCCCTGTGTGCTTTGTCCTCCTGGTTTTCTTCAGTTCGTTGATTTCGCCTCCCTTGGTTGTTCCGGGTCACCTTTTTTTTAAATAAATAAAACCTGTACTTGCTCACTCTGAAGTGTATTGAGTTTGCTTTTGGGTCCCGCTTGTGTGCGCGACCTGCGGTTAATGACACTTATTTGTAATTATGAAGTGTTTCTACTTCTGTACTTCTGAATTACTTTTCAATGGAATCAGACAAACTGACCTTCATTGCAGAGGGAGCCAAAAAATCCAGCGAGACATTTGCAGTGGCCGGTGATGTGGTGGCATGCCCCATCGCTGTGGACACACTGAGGACACATCTGACTGCAACGATGGCCATAGAAGCCAGGAGAACATGCTGTGGAGGAAAAATCCACATTATGGCTCATCATGTGCACTCTGTGATGCTGTGTGTACTGGGAATAGCGTTCTAGCCATTCCCTCGTCCCATGGGTCAGCCTGTTAGCTGTATTAGTTTTGATTTGTTTTTCCTTCCCACACAGGAAGGACTCATAAGTCTTCCTCTGGCCTTTAATTTGCTTTAATTGACGTAACTCTAATTACTCTAACTGGCAAGGCAACCCTCTTCCCTCATGCTACAGGATTTTCCTCATTATGATAATTGTGTAAATTGTGAATCAAGAGAGCTTAAATGTATTACTCTGATGCCAAAAGAAGCAGAAGAAACGGTCATACAAACACACTCCATGTACTCACTCTATGAGCATCATCAGACTTGGGCTCGATTTCAAGCAGATGCAACATGAATGAGTTGCAGTTATTTTCTTAAACAAAATAAATGAACTTTAAGCTTCAGTTTCACTGGGCCATTACCATGGGAATTTAGACTCTTAATTTCAGAACACCAGCATCACCCATTAAATAAACCACTGTGTACAGGTTAATATGCAGGGTGACACACAGATCCCTAATGCTAAAGTCAGTAAAAATGGCGATATCCTTGTGGTTATTTTCACCCTGACTGAAAACAAGCCTCAAAATTGATTTCTGTAAAACTCTGATGTTTTCTCCTCCTCTGAATCTTTACAGAAGAGGTGGAAGTGCCAACATAACCCACAGCATCCCTCTGGCCAGCCACGAGGACTGTTTCTGTTTTCGTAAGACAAATGCTGCGATCATTAAATTTGCTAATTAGTTCTGAAACAAATTTTACACAGACTTTATTTCAAAGACCTGCGAAGAAGTTACAAACTGGAATAACAAAGATTATCCAGTAGAAACAGTGCACCAGGTGGCAGCTATCACTTTATTCTAGTGCCGTTAATCTCGTTAAAATGACGTTAACGGCATAACCGCATTAACGCGGTAAATCTCCGTTAGCAAGTTAGCGCCCCGTGCGTGGGACTGCACGGCGTCAACGCGTTAGCAAGGTTCACTCGTTAGCACGTTAGCGCTGTCCAGCCCCATGCACGGGGCAATCTGGGCTAACGTGCTAACAGAGATTTACCGCGTTAATGCAGTTATGTGGTTAACGTCATTTTAACGAGATTAACGCTGACAGCAGTATTTTATTCATTTCTCCTTTTTTACTAATTGTATAGGAGTCTTGTTAATAGTACTATTTGTAGTTTCTATTTAAAGCAAAATGTCAGGACTGCAGCTGTGGTCGAGTGAGTACAGTACACGACTGCAGAAACGTGGGTGTGAAAAATAATCCCTTACTTCTTCTGCAGTTGGTGCCCCGGTAGCCTGGAGCGCACACACAGGTGCCGTCCTCTGGAGAACAGGAGCCCCCGTTCTCGCAGGTGCAGCTGTAGGAGCAGTTGGGTCCCCAGCGACCCTCCTCGCACACACTGTCACAATGGACACCTGCACAAAATACACACAAACACACACAATGTAGGCTATAGTAAAGCAAACAGCTTTATTCTGCCGAGCGCTGAGCTATGAGCTCTTAAATAAAGTCAAACTGGTATTCCTAACACAGAGGTTCACATGTCACTTAAAGGTGAAAAGTGAGACGGCAGGGTGATAAAAAAAAAAAAAATCCGCAGAGATGAGTAGAGTTCTCACAGGAACTCAGCTAGCAGTTAACATAATGCTGTACTAGCAAACTGTGGGCTGTAGTAAGTAAACCTGGTCACCTTCACTTAATTGATGTCTTCCAATTGGCCCCCGATTGTGATATTTGTGATATCTGTTGATCGATGTAATGTTTAGACACTTATTAAGCATTGGAAATGTCAATAAACTGTTATTTAGTTCATTATATTATAATCAGGCTGTCTGCAGGTTTTTGTGTTGTGTGTGTTAGTCTAAAACAAAAAGATGGTAAACTGGTGTGCATGTAAAGGTGATAACTGGCATTGTGTTCAACAAAACCAAACATGCTTTTAATTATTTTGCTGTCTAAATATTCATTTGTGTGTGCACATGTATGAATAAATGTCAGTTTATATGAATAAACACATAAAATCTCACAAATACTACCCAAGACTTTTCCCTGTCTAATTCTTTGGTAAAGTGTCTCCGTCTTTCATCAGTCTTGCATGTGTGTGTGCGTGTGTCCTGAGGGGCAGCAGTCTGTCTGCACAAAAACTGGTCTGCACAATAGTTCAGAGCCCGTACGGCTCACAGGGGACAGTCTGACGGAATAGAAACAGAGAGTATGTGTAAATACAGTACACGTCTCACTTCAGCCTGCAGCTCATTAGAAACTTTCTTTGACATTTAACATTTCTTTCAGACATTATGATGCAATTAATAACATTCTAACATCTAAACTTAACTTAAAAAGTAAAGAAATGTTTGTTTGGTCGATTATTTCTTTGTTGTAACAATCCTTCTTTTCAATAGATCGTAGAGTGCTGCTGGAAAGTCAGTTTATTTCCCTTTACATCCCTAAGATCTCTTTAAATAGTAGAGTTGTGTATGTGAATTGCACCCCTGAAAAAACTGCCACCGAATCTTCTCAGCCAATGCCCAACAGCTTATTCTGTTATTGAGTCTTGATTTTGAGCTGGTACTGCAGGTGCTGGCTGTCAGGTTCCTGATTGGCCCAGATTAACAGCACCTTTGAGCGCGGACTCAGCTTCAATGGTGAGCTGGTGTCTGCTTCAAACATGTCCTGTTTATAATTATATCTATGTACCTCTATCCTTCAACAATGCATTCATATGTAGTGGAATGGACAAATAAAATAAAGGATATTTTCTTCAATCTTTCATTTTTATAGTATGACTGCTTATGTTTATATATACCAAATTTTCCAGTGCTTGAGCCTACAATAATAATTAATCTTATCGTATGTTATCTTAAAATCACCCATTAGAATTATTTTTTCCGAACACTAAATCAGTCACAAAAATCAAATCAAAACTCCAAGTGCCAGCTGGACAACAGATAACAATAAACTGCTTTTTCAGTTATCTGTTGTCCATCGATGGTTAATTCAATCAGTTCCAGTTCAGTTCAATTTTATTTTATTTATATAGCACCAAATCACAATATTGTTATGTAGAGACAGTAATACAGAAAAACCCCAACAATCACACGACCTCCTATGAGTACGCACTTGACAGTGGGAAGGAAAAACTCCCTTTTAACAGGAAAAAACCAGCAGAACCAGTCTCAGGGAGGGGCGGCCATCTGCCGTGACTGGTTGGGGTTGACGGGGAAGGAGACAGGACAAAAGACATGCTGTGCTTCATAAGTTGAAGATTGCTGCTGCTGCTCGTCCGTCCTGTCTTGAGAATTCTGACAGGACGACTCGGGTGTGTTGATTCCTTTAAACTGACGTATTCATCCCGCTGTAACCAGGTTTCCTTCAGTCAGAATAAACTGATGTGTTGATCAGTTATTAAATCCTTTACTAACAGGGACCTTATGTGTACTGATCCACATTTAAGTGCTTTATCTTTGGTGCAGTTGAGGATGCTATATTGTTATTTAATTTCATTTGGAATTGTTTTTTTGTGAACAGACATAGTTTCTGCAGGGATGCAGCTCTGGATCATAACAGGAGGAAGGACGCTGCAGAGATGGTGTATAAGACTCCGCTTCCTGGTCCCAACTCTGGATAAATTTGGTCAGACTGCTCCATCTAAAGGGGGATGGGTACCATCTCTCCTAACAAGACCACGTTTTCCCCAGAAAGTTGTTCGGTTTACACTTTACTCTCTGCAGACTTTTTAAATTTGATCTCACTGAGTCAGAGTGTAAATAATCACAGGAGAATCTTTGGGGTCTTTAATTGATATGCACTGTATTATCTTTCAGCTTCACAGACTCTCACAAGTCTAATTGTCATTCATAGTTATTACCTGAACTGTAATTACACAGGCTTACTAATTTCAGTCTAACACAGATATCTGGTGTTTCTTTGTTTCTTCAAACTTCATGTAGTCGTTAACTCTAAACTTTGATCTATCTATTCATCAATATGTTGAAGTTTCCCTCAATGTCAATTCATTATCAGTTTTCCCTCTGGCAGTGAATTAAAATGTCCTCTCCATATTCATCACCTCTCATATTGATCCTCTCTCACCACAAGTTTACTAATTGACAATTAGTGGATGAAACAAGGAGAGGTACAACTCGAACATGACAATTAATAAAGTAAACAAGGGCACGGTGAAGTGTAATATCACTGCTGAGGAGAATGTTTGTGTAAAAAGGCTCTCTTGAAAGGTGCCTTATCCGTGGGAACATTTGTAAAGTTGAATTATTGAAAACAGCTCAAACTCATCCAAGCTTGAACGTCCCTAGTTTTAGAATTATAGGTTTGAATCTGCTGTGTGTTTGTCATATCGATTTGTAGTCTGAATTCATACCTTATTGTTGTCTGCACCCTTCTCCTCTGTCTTCTATTCCCCATCCATGTTTTATTTTATTCTCCTCTACTGAATGTGTGTTGAGGTATTTTCCATAACTGCTCCAGCTGCCCTCATTTCAGAGGGTCTAGATATGGCCCATGATCCCATGTCCCCTGAAGAGGCCAAAGGTCAAACTAAAGTGCATTTTTTAAGCTCTTCTGGAGTGTTTTTGATGAAGATTCATCAGTTTCATTGGATAGTTTTCAACGAAGTTGTTCTTCTCTGAGACCATGTGACTATAGAGGCACATCTAAAATTATTTTTAAACCCACTCTCAGTATATTTATTACTTTGTTGTGCACCTTCGATTTGATCTTCCAAGGGCTGGTTTTAGAGAGACACGAGACGCACGACAGCTTAAATAAAACGAATACAGTGGTCGGATTTCAGGTAAATTCATCAGTGGTACAAAGTCACTATGTTGACTTAAACACCATTAAATGTACCAAAAAATGTAATTATTCAGTGCCATCAGCCAGCAAGTGTCATTGATTGCTACCATGGAAACACTAATGCCAGGGGAATGTATCATGGGTATGGCATAGGTCTTACACAATAAGCTGCAAAATGAAGAAGAAGCTTCTGAAGAAGCTTCTCGGATGAGAGGTGAAACGTCTTCAAGCAACTTAAAGAAGTCCAGACGCTTTTCTTTGCAAGCTCCTTAGACTACGATGACCTGGATGACTGAGTAGCTTCACAGACACCTGCCTGTGAAAGTGTCACACGTGGTTTATAAAGCACTTTGAGTGCTCGAGTAAAGTAACAATTTCATATAGTTCATATTCATATTGCACCAAATCACAACAACAGTCACCTCAAAGTGCTTAATGCTTCTATGTGAAGACTACAATAGTACAGCTAAACCCCAACAATCAGACGACCCCCTTTGAGCAACTTTGGTGAGACTGGGAAGGAAAAACTCCCTTTTAACAGGCAGAAACCTCCAGCACAACCAGGCTGACATAAGCTTTGTCCAAAAGGAACGTTTTAAGTCTACTCTGAAAAGTAGAGCTGGTGTCAGTCCCCCAAATCCAAGCTGGGAACTGGTTCCACAGAAGAGGAATCTGAAAGCTGAAAGCCTCCCAATTTACTTTTTAATATCCTAAAGAACAGAAGAAAGACAGCAATCTGAGAGCGGAGTGCTCTATTGGGGTGATATGGGCGGTATGGAAAGATGGGCTCTGATTACTCAATATTATTTGCTATATAAGAACCAGTCCGTTTGCCATTTACATAATGTTTCAGCACAAGATATATGTTACATTACTGTGCTCAACATTAGTCCCTGTCCCACTTTGTCCCACTTTTTCAAAGATCATGTTTCAATCCTTCTGTTCACTCTTTAGCTGAAAAAAGTAAAGGAAAAGACAAATGTGATTTTTTTGTGATATGTGTATATTCAATGTTGGGTCAGTGAACTATACGTTATAGAATATAATTCTATAGAATAGAAAAGTGCTATATAAGAACCACTCCAAATGCAATGCAAGTGGTGTAAAGCACCCAGCTACTGGACTCTAGAGCAGTGGAGATGTGTTAGAGCGGTTTCTGCAAGGCAGAACTTTTCATCCGGGTCTAGTCTGACCTCACAAATGTTTAATAGAATAGCCAAAAATTCCCATGAATACAGGAAAACTTTGCCACAAGACTGGAAGCTGTTATAGTGAAAAAGGGTGTCATTAAAGTTACTTAATACTTTTAATAATATAGCGTAGAAGGGTTATTATTGTTATGAATATTCAGTGAATGTAAAATTGGGAAAATGCTTTGAATGGCATTTTGTCAACAGACTGAAGCAGGCGTGCTGGTATGAATAAATATTCTACTGTACCACCAATATGCAACCAAAAATGCACAAATTATATCACAGTTGCCAAATGCTTGACTTTGAGGTCAAGGCCACTAAAATGTGAACTTTCTGTGGTATCAATCTGAACATCATAGGTGTTCTTTCTAATGTTACTGGATTCACAGCATTTTCAAATGTTGGCTCAAACTGCAGCTCCATAACTCACCCGTCCAACCTGCAAGACAGCGGCAGAAACCCGTAACTGGATCACAGCCATCGGAGTTAACGCAGTCACATTTCTCTCTGCAATCCAAGCCGTACGATCCATCCTAACAGCACCAAGACAAACATCAGAGAAAACACATTTTTTCTTTTATTAAGTAACTTAACGAAACATTAAAGAAGCAAAGTAGAATGCTATGAATGAATGCTATGAGCACTCACAGGACAAGGTACGTCACAGTATTCATCCGTCCAGCCTGGGGAGCAAGCACAGGTTCCACTGACGGGGTTGCAAGCTGCCCCATTGGCACACTGACACGTCTGATTGCAGCTCAGTCCCCAGGTTCCACTGGAGCAAGGGATGGAGCAGTCGACACCCTGCCAACCTGCTCAGACGACAGATCATTTTAGTTTGTAATGGACCTTTACTCTGCAATTAAGTATTATAAGTTTTATATTTCTGTATGTTTGACCTTGTGATTTTGATTTATTTTATGACTTTTCTTCTAACTTGGTGTAATTGTAGTTTATAAGAATGTGGATCCTATTTTCTCTACATTATCCATCTTTGCTGTATTTGTTATAATGACTAAATACGTGTCAATACCTATTTTATAGCTGCAACAGTGTCCAAGAGGCACGAGCCGACAGACAGACATATTTACAGTTTAAACAGATTATCAAAAGTAGTTTATTTGGAGCTAAAAAAAAAGTCCCTTTCCCCATCTTTGATAAGTGTTTCCAACAAACAGTTTGAGTAATCGTTTTTCTGTTTAACTTCATTTCCTCTTCCAAGTAAGTCTGTCTGGTTGTTGTTTGAGTTTTTCCTGCAGTGACAAAAGTCATAGAAATAAGCCAAGCTGCAGGACACAGGAGTTCATCGTTACTAAGGGCTGTACATTGAATTATCAGAGCGTATGTTAAACATATATCCTGATAATTCAGTAATATTTTGGATTATTGTTTAAATGACTTTTAAAAATGTATTTATCTTTTTAAAGGCTTTGCTTAACTTGAATGTAAGTAATAAGAAATGTTTCTAATTTGTCATTCCCTTCCATCCTTCACCATTTCCTGGGCTTTTCCCACTAAAAACACTGAGCATATTAAAGTACATCAAAGTAAATTAAGTCATGGGTGACTAAAGAGAGAGAGTACGCGGGTTTCACAGGGTTCGTTCTTGTTCTAACCAAAGCTCTCAGGCCCTGGTCCTGTTTTCTGCTTCTTCAGATGTCTCTCTATTTTAATTACCTGTGGTCCCAACCACGTTCAGAGGTGTATAAATATTTAAACATGCTGATATTGAGAGATATAAAGCAAGCAGAAAAAAAGACCAGGTAAGGACTGGAGATTGTTACAGTTGATGTCTTCACATTTTTAGAGATGTGAAATTGAATGAATGGTGAAATTGGAGAAAATTTGGGGTTTCTGGTTTTCAAATGCAGGATCAAACAAAAACAGGGCTAGGAGATCAAGGCTGGAACTTTTTAATATCAAATAGTTTGAAATTTTCTCAATTTTCTTTAAGCGTTTAGAAAAGTCCAAAAGTGTAGAAAAGATCTGTCAAAAAAAGCTGCAAATAATTTCACTGAGTTACTGTGAAATATAACAAAGAAAAAGCAGCAAATTCCCAAATTTGTTTAGTGATCTTGTGGAATTAGCTAAAAACTTTTGTATGTGTACTAGAAGCACAACTTGAATAAAGCAAGAGTTTGGAAACATTATGTCAAGGCCATGTAACCTAACTTTTTTAAAGGTTTTTATCACACTTGACCTCTTGAAATAAAAACAAGCATTTTTATCTCCTGGTGATCACTGAAATTCAAGTTATACACCCTTCCCCACTCACTTCAGATAGGCCTGGTTTTCTTCAGATTCAAATAAATGCAACACCATCAACATTTAATTAATTTCAATAGTCAACAGAATATGTAGTACTTAAAATAGCAGTTTTTCAAGCTCTCGTCAACGATATGCTCTGCAGCTTCTCCACAGGAACATCCACATGTACATTTTTAGATTAGAAAGAAGTACCAGAGGCTCTGCTGAAAATGTTAGACATTCAGGGAAACACTACAAGTTACAGTGAAGACTGCGACTCCTTACAAAAACAATTTTGATAGTTGTTCCTCTTGTCCAATTCTAAAACATAATAATGAAGGAAATTTCAACACTCTGTCTTTAAGAACATGCTTGTAAAGCACTACCTTCTCTGCAGATGCAGGAACCATCAATGTGTGAGCAGGAGATCTCGTTTTGGCAGGAGCACGATGAGGAGCAGTTGATCCCGTACAGGCCTGCAAGACAGCTGATAGAGCAGTCGTCACCCTGGTCACACAAAAGGAGACAGGAAGGAACTGAAAAATAATGGTAAAGGTAAGATAAAAGGCCTGGAGTTGATTTGAGGTGAAGTGCTTGCATTTGGAAGATTTTGCTGTGAATGGACAACAGGTGGTCAAATCAGCTCTCCGTGAAGGTGAAACAACCAATGCTTAAGCTCACAAAGACAGAAAAAACCCATCGGAGAAGTTGCTACTATATTAGGGTTGGACTCAGCAATGCAAAAAGACCTGGACGTCCACAGGAAGACAGCTTTCCAGGATGATCGCAGAATTCTTTCTATTGCAAAGAGAAACCTCTTCACAACAGCCAACCAAGTGAACAGCTCTCTCCAGGAGGTAGACGTATCGATATCCAAGTCTATCATAAAGAGAAGACCGCATGAAAGTAAATACAGGGTGTTCACTGCAAGGTGCAAGCCACTCATCAGTCTCAAGAATAGACTGGCTAGACTTTGCTAAAAAAAACACCCAAAAAAGCCAGCACAGATCTGGACAAACATTCTTTGGACAGATGAAACCAAGATCAACCTCTACGAGAATGATGGCAAGACAAAAGTATGAAGAAGGTGTGGAACAGCTCAGGATCCAAAGCACACCACATCATCGGTAAAACGCGGCGTCGGCAGTGTGATGGCTTGGGCATGCATGGCTGCCAGTGACACTGGGACACTCGTGTTTACTGATGATGTCACTCAGGACAGAAACAGACGAATGAACTCTGAGGTGACTGTCTGCTCAAATCCAGCTAAATGCAGTCAGATTGATTAGGCAGTGTTTCATAATACAGATGGACAATAAGCCACAACATACGGCCAAAGCAACCCAGGAGTTTATTGATGCAAACAACCTGATCTTAACCCAACTGAGCTGCATTTCACTTGCTGAAGATTAAACTTTGCACAGAAAGACCCACAAACAAACAGCAACTGAAGGCCTGTGAGAGCATTAAAAAGGAGGAAACCCTGGGTGTTGATTTAGCTCACTGCGATGAGCAGGTGACCATATGCCACATGGCTGAGACCAGCCGGCCCACATTCGATTCCAACCTTTTGCTGTATATCTTCCCCCATCTCTCGCCCTCCGCTCCCCTGTCACTCTTCACTGTACCCTGTCAAATAAAGCTGTAAAAAGGCCAAACGAAAAGGAGGAACCCAGCATTTGGTGATGTCCATGAGTTCAAGACTTCCGGTTGTCATTGCCTGCAAAGGCTTTTCAACCAATTATGTAGTAATAAACATTTTATGCTCAGTTATTTAATTTGACCAATTATTTTTGTTTAAAAATCCCTTCCTTTTTATGCAATCTTTTCTTTCAACTCACTGAATTAAAACTGAGTCTAGTCTGCACTTCAACTGCATCAGAATTGTTTCATTTAAAATTGAACCCCCTGTCTGGGGCTCTCCGCAGCTCTTCCCAGGAGGGTGGCGTGGCTGCCCCTCCGATGGTCCTCCTTGGGCTCTCACGCTCCTGGGGGCCACCAGATGTCTCCTCCATGCCTGCTTCATGCAGGCACATTACAAGGAGAATCCTTTTGAATACAAGTGCGCTCACGCACACAGGTGCTCACAGGCTTTCTTGCCTCCCACCTCAAAGCACATTCTGCGCTGTCAGTCTTGTGTGCTGCAAAATAAAATTCAATATTTAGTATTTACTGTTAGTTACACTTATCTAGGTTATTGCTGCAGTGCTGTTTTTATTGTGTTGCTCTCCTTTTACTTGTTTTCTTTTTTTGTATCAACAGGTAAACAGCGGATTTGTTTTTTAGTGTCTTCTCTCACTGTCCCTCTTCCCCTCTGTCTGTCTGTCTGTCTGTCTGTCTTTCTTTCTCTGCCCCCAGGCATGTCTGTCCTATTTGTGACTTAAAATAAAATAAATTGAATAAATAAATAATAATAACAAAGGTCAATCAAGTGGACCAATATGGCAAAGCCATAGTGATCTACTTAGTAAAATAAATCCATCTTTCTTGGCCTTCAGACAATAACTCTGATTGCTAAAGAACTGAAGAGGACAGGGGGGAAAATCATTGTGGTGATGTACAGAACCAAAATCTCTGTCCAAATATTTATGGACCCAACTGTATATGTGTGTTATGTGTTACATGTTAATGTACATGTATAAATATTTTTAATGTTGGAGGGTTCTGTATGTGTATGCAGCTGTCTAGAGGCAACCTTTTCAGAAAAATCTGAAACCTTCTAATTATAAATTAAAATCAAAGACCACTCCCAGTTCCCTCCAACAGTCCGTGTCAAGTTCTGCTCTCTTATTTTAAAATAGCTGTATCATTGTGGCTGCAATGTGTGAGCCTTGAAACATTTTGGATAAAGAGTCAGAATAGAAAAGGTTTGGCATCGGTTTAAAGTTCTGAGGCAATGACATACTCACTGACATGAGCTTCCCCTGGCATTCCATATGAATCAATATTCAGGCTTAAATGAGTCACAAGTAGGGATGGGTATCTGTGGTGGGGCGTGGTCTGCGGTGCCGTGCAGGGAGGGCGGACGCACCTGCACGGCATCCTTAATCACGCCCAGGGGTTTGGGTGTGTTGTGGTGTGACGTGAATTAAATAAAGATGGCTCTGAACGTTGCTCCATGGTCCCGCCGTGCCTTATTCACGCCACAGTATCGAAACCCGGTTCTTGTTGAGAACCGGTTCCCACTGTCGATTCCAATCGCCCCGAATGACGTCACCACGTTGTGGAGCGTCATTTACCTGGCAGGAAACAAGGCGCCTAAGTGGCTCAAACGCTCAAAAGTTTGGTTATACTTTACGAGAACGGATGACAACAGGGCAACTTGCAATACTTGAATAGTGGATATTTCATCTAAGGGAGGAAACACTACGAATATGCAAAAGCATTTGCTCACAAAACACGCGATGACCTTAAATGAATGTCGTGTTTTTAATTCTGGACTCGTGAATCTCAACCCAGCAGCAGCGGTAACGTTTGCACGTCCTCTCCCGTTAATGCGGCACGTAAATAATCAACAACAGTGCATATTATGTTAGCGCGATCTGCCTTATTACAAACCTGCCATTACTGTGCATTTAGTGACCATGATGAGACAGAGTCTGGCTCAGATGCTGGCAGCTCTCGCTGCAGTCTGCCAGCAGCGTCTCCTTTCAGGCCAGGATAGACGAACGTCACCGAGCAGTGACTCAGTTTGTGGTCAAAGGCTTGCACCCGTTTGCCACAGAAGATGATTTCCAGTAAGTGAATGTGTTTAATTGCAGGCAGGGACATTACTGGATATTCTTGTGTAATTGCTACAGAATAATTTATGTTACACTTTGTTATTGCTACAGAAGAATATTTATTTTATTATTTTACATTTACAATTTTTTTTCCTGGGGACCCTGTGACGCCCCATTGAAGAGCCGTAGGCTGGATCTCTTAAGATCTCACTCCTCTGCTCTCTGGCAGCAGCACCATGCTCTCCCCCTCTCTCCCATGCACTTTAGAGCAACACGCAGCAACACTACACATGAGCGGGAGGAGGGAGGTATGGGGTCTTCACACACCCCCGTTCTCTGCTAGCCATCGGGGCGGGGGGGCTGGGAGGAGATGTTGGCTGTCCGATTGGCCTCCCTGCTGCTGCGGAGCCTGGGACGGTCTGCTTGCCTCCACCCCGGGGGAAGGGTAACATCTCTTGGGTGTGGGTTCTGTTTCCCCCTCTGGGGGCGAGGGTACCTGGACCCGGGGTATAGAGTATGTTTGGGGAGTGTGATTGTGTGTACATGTCCATTTATGTCAATCCCTACGTTGGGTGAGTGCTGAGTGTTTGTATATGTGTGCATGAGGGTGGGAACGCATGTTTGTGTCTGTATGTGCCTGTTTGTCTGTGTCTATATGTCAGGTCGGGTCTTAGACTCCACCTCTCTGGGAACTCCCAGGCCCTCCAAGGCCTATCTCCCCTCACCACACTCCCTGCCGGTGACTACCTGCACACCTCTGGATGTCTGGGGCCTGGATCTCCTCCATGCCTGCTTCATGCCCTGGGGGACGGGACTATGGCTCTCTACATCCTCTAGCAGACCATTACATGTGGAAACCATTTGAATACAAGCGCGCTGATCCACACAGGTGTTCACTGTTCATGGACTTAAATAACACCTTTCTTGGCTGCTACTTCAAAGCACATTGTGCGCTGTCTGTCCTGCGTGCTGCACAACAACATTGAATATTGAGTATTTACTGCTGTTTACACTTAGCTAGACAACAAAGACAAAGATAACAAAGACTCCTGACTCTCAACTTGCCTCATCTACTGATTCACATAAGCATAAATGCTTTGTATGTAACATTTACTGATGAACACATGAGAGAGTAGCTAGACTGCAGACTAATCAATAAAGGACATGTCGTAGTGGCGAGACAGACAGCTTGGCATTAGCAGGATATCTAACCTTATCCTGTGCTGATAGCATGCTGGGAGAGCAAGCTTCACACATCTGAAATCTCAGGCACCATGACACATTGATTGGGACCTCCAACATATAAAATTTGCCAATTAAAATTGTATGCTTCAAACCTGCTGCCTTTAAATTGCTATTAATCTAATATTCACAAAGCTATCCAAAAGACAGGAGGACAAAGAGCTCTTATTAAATTTGAAACACTTGAAAAATAAATAAAATTGAACATCAATGTGTTCAGTAAGGAAAATCAACTGAATTTCCCAGGATTGTAAAGTCACCTCTTGTATAATAATTATGTACAGATTGGTGGATTAATGATCATTTGCTTGGCAACTTTGATTTAAATTTTTGTTCTAAAAGCCAGTTATTTTCAGTTTTTAAATCAAAGATAACAAAACAAAAATAATGTGTTTTTTACTTCATAACCCAAACACTAGCTGTGCAGCCTTGGAGGAAAGCAAAGAAATTTAACAACTCTACGTAGTCCCCTAAAATAAACAAATACCATCACTGTCACTATAGGAATGGAGAGACTGAGTATCAAACTGCTGCTTCTGTACT